ATTCATGGAGTTATGAGAGTTTCATCCTCTGTGACTTCTAGTCTCTGACTCTTACTTCTCCAATTGCTTTAGATAAAAAAACCCCACATATTTACAAATTTCACTTACTCCTATATTTTTCTTTTCTTTTAGTCTCTCTTTAGAGTTCAGAATATTTGTCCAATTTCAAGATTCAATATGAACAAATTTTACTGACAATGACAACATATGAATAAAGTAAATTACTTTTTCTTAGTAAAATCAAAATTAAAGTTCATAGAAAATTGAAGTGTTGTGAGACATAAGTTTTATGTGACTGATATAATAGATTTATTTTCTTATGTCAGGGTAATTAAAATAAAGAAAAGAAACCACAGTCTATCCACTTATTGAAGTCACAACTATGTGCAAAACAGAATAAACCAGAGATTTATAAATTGATACAGAATGAACTTCACTGCTGTTAAGTAAGAAGATACAAAGAGAAGTGATAAATATTGAATGTCCTATTCTTAAGATGGTGAAAGTTGAGCAACAGCAAGGAATGTGTGGCCATTCTTAAAACTTCTCAGTGTGTGAATTACCTCTGCTTGCTCCTACAGGGTGTGGCTTCATGTCTCACCTGGCAATAAGCCATTCAGGGAGTCAGCGTTGTAGAGTCAGGAGAAAGCTGCTGAGGTAATTATGACAATTTTCCAAACATTTCCCTTTTAAAAGTGGAAGATCAGTGTTGAAGATGTGTTAGAAACCAAACAATTGTCAACAGAACTTCTGCCTGTCATCTTTTCCACAACAAACAGCTTGGGCTTTTACAGTCACTGGGCACAAGAGTGTAAACTTGAGAAAAGGTAGGACCAACAACATAGGATTAACAGTGAGTTGAGCCACTCAGACCATGAGTCTGCTGCAGCATTTCCAGGCCATCCAATTAGCACTAAAAGCTTTGATGGGAAGGGACACTTTAGGAAGACAGAGAAAAAGGAGGAGTCACAGGGCCATAGGAGGGTACCTGAGTCCCCAGGTGCATAAATTAATGTCCATAGTTTCAGCTTGAAGCAGTGTGTTGCTACAGATCAGCATTTTATTTTATTTTTTTTTATGGTTTTATTTTTTTTCTTTATTTTATTTATTTATTTATTACAATGAGGAATACTGAGAATTCAAGAACCATCGCAGTGGGTTTTTGATCCTACTGCACGTACTGGCTTTGTGGGAGCCTAGGCAGTTTGGATGCTCACCTTACGAGACCTGGATAGAGGTGGGCAGTCCTGGAACTTCCCACAGGTCAGGGAACCCTGATTGCTCTTCGAGTAGATGAGGGAGGGGGACCAGATCAGCATTTTAGGTAACTTAATGTTCTTATTTATTCTATTACCTCTGTCACTTCTTCATTCTTAACAATAGGATCTATAATCTAAAAAGAAAAGTTAAGCTTTGAGAAATTATGTTCCAGTGATGCTATCCCTAGGCTATCAGCACGCAGATCCCTCCCCCAACCCCTGGGCTAGTTCTTGGAAGAGATGCTTAGACAAAAACCAATATCATTTAGCAAAAGCGAAGGAGACAACACGTTGTGAGTGGCGTATGTATGCTGGGTTCCTGGGTAAAAAGTGTTTTGATGATTTGCTGTTAGTATCCTGATGCCCTTGATGAATCTGAACTTAGAGAAATTCTGTTGTGAACCAAGGGGTGAGTAACCATCCTCCCAGCTGAACAGTCCAGTCTCTAGATCCTAGGTCCTGGAGCAAAATCCTGGGCCCTTCCCCAACTCATTTCAGCTGCGCTAGCTAGCAGGCAAGACTGCAGGCCGGCTACTCCACCCCTATCAGACTCTGTAATCTTCAATTCCCACTCTGCTCCCAAATCCACCTCTGCCCTGAGACCTAAGTGGCTTCCTGTACACAGATAGCAACTGCAAAGAGTGGACCAGGAACATCCCCCGAGACACAGACAGTGCCTGCCATGGTTGGATGAGAAGGCAAAGGAAGTGTCTGCACCAATTGGAGGAAGAGATGGGTAGATGCTAATACAAGAATATATTCAACATTCTAAAGAGTGTTGTGACCTTAGCAGAACCTAGTGGTCCTACAAGAGGAAGACCTGAACAAACCAATGCAGAGGAACCAAAAGAAAATGACCTTAAAAACAACTTTTTGAAGATGTTAGAGGCCCTTCAAGAGGAAATGAAAAGTTTCCTCGAAGAAACTGAGGAAAAGACAAACAAAAAATAGGGAAAAATCAATAAATCTCTGAAAGAAAGCCAAGAACAAACAGGTAAAGGAAACAGTTCAAGACTTGAAAATTGAAATACAAGCAACAAAGAAAACACAAACCGTGGGATTTCTTGAAACGGAAAACCTGGGTACATGAACAGGAACTACAGATTCAAACATAACCAACAGAATGCAGGAGATGGAGGAGGGAATCTCAGGTATTGAAGATATAATAGAGGAAATAGATTCATCAGTCAAAGAAAACATTAAAGTCATTAAAGTCATAACACAAAATGTACAGTAAATCTGGGACCAAACTTAAAAACACTAGGGTTAGAAGAAGGAAAGCAATTCCAGATTAAAGTCACAAAAACATATTCAACAAAATCATGGGAGAAATCTTTACCAACCTAAATAAGAAAATGCCTATGTAGGTACAAGAGGCTTACAGAACACCAAATAGACTGCACCAAAATGTCCCCTTACTACATAGTAATCAAAACACAAAATATATAGAATAATGAAAGAATTTAAAAAGATGCAAAGGGAAAAATCTAAGTAAAATATGAAGGCAGACCCATCAGAATTACACCTGACTTCTAAATGGAGACTCTGAAAGCCAGATGGTCCTAGATAGACATTAGCTGGGTGGCAGTAGCATAAACCTTTAACCCCAACCCTGGGGAGGCAGAAGCAGGCAAATCTCTGTGAGTTGGAGGCCTGCCTGATCTACAGAGCGAGTTCCAGGACAGGCACCATAGCTACACGGAGAAACCCTGTTTCAAAAAAATGAGAAAGAGAGAGAGAGAGAGAGAGAGAGAGAGAGAGAGAGAGAGAACACAGATGCCAGTGCAGATTACTACATCCAATAGAACTTTCAAATCACCATAGATGGGGAATAATACATTCCATGAAAAAATAAGTTCAAACAATACCTGTCTACAAATCCAGCCCTACAGAAAGCACTAGAATGAAAACTCCAACCCCAAGGAAGTTTGCTGCACCCATGAAACTACAGACAGTAGATAATCCCACACCAGCAAATCCTAAAGAAGGGAACCACATACACATTACCACCAAAAATAACAGGAATTAACACTCACTGGTCATTAATATCACTTAACATCAGTGGACTCAACTCACCTATTAAAAGATACAGCGTATCACAATAGCTACAAAAACAAGATCCATCCTTCTGCTGTATACAAAAATCACACTTCAACTTCAAAGACAGAGATTACCTCAGAATAAAGGTTTGGGAAAGGACTTCCAATCAAATGGACCTAAGAAGTAAGCTGGCGTAGCTATCCTAATATATAACAAAATAGACCTCAAACTAAAGGTAATCAGAAGAGACGAAGAAGGATATTTCATATTTATCACAGCAAAATTTCATGAACATAAATTTTCAGTCCTGAACATTTGTGCCTGAAATACAAGGGCCCCCACATTGTAAAAGAAACATTACTAAAGCTTAAATTACACACAAAACCCCACACACTAATAGTGGGAGATTTCAACACCCCACTCTCACCAATAAACATGGCTACTGGACAGAAAATATACAGAAAAATAATGGAACTAACAGATATCATGACACAAATGGGCTTAATAGACATCTATAGAAAATTCCACCCGAAGACAAAAGAATATACCTTCTTAATTAAACCTCATTGAACCTTCTCTAAAATCCACCACATACTTGATCTCTATTGCTGTTATTTTTATCTTTTGTAAATTGTTTCCCCATAAAGCTTATATTAAACTGCAGATTTTGTGCCATAAAGTGTTTGATGCAACCTTCATCTTTGTAGATGCAGCATAAAGATAGACACAGGAGTCCTTGAATGGCATGCTGAGCAGATTTCTCTCTCATAGTCAGAAGTGCCAAAGAGGCTGATACGTAACAAGTAATTTCTAATGAAGGAAGAAGTTTATAATGGAGCAGTACTCCCCACTCTCAATTGCTACCTAATTCTTAGAGACAGCAGTTAGCTCATCCTCATAGTCTGTAACATTGATTCCCAGAGAACAAGGTCAGTATTTAGAATCAACTCTAATAAGGTCACTGCAGGAACAAGTATTTGCCAGTTATGCCAAAAAAAGAGCACTTTAGGTGCAAATATCAGAAGAGCTGACCATAAATGGGTTAGACAAACAATAGAAATCACACAGCGGCAGTGACATTTTTTATACAGCTCTATGATGTTAGTGATCTAAGATGTTTGAGGTTTATAGCATGAGCCCCCTCTCCCTTCCTTTAGGAATATGTAGAGTTTGTTGTTGCTCTTTTGTGCTTGCACATGGGAGGATGGTGTAAAACTTCCATTCTGCTTTATGATAATCATTCAGAGCCATGGGTTCAATCTTAATTGTTTTGTCTTCAGGTAAAGTCCTGAACTTGGGCCACGAGCACATTTTTGTGAATTTGTGACTAGTGAGAGGTCTTGAGGAAAAATCTTAGGTGTTTTCCTGGGAAATTAGCTTATGATTGCCATTATTGGAGATTTTAGAACTGGAACCTGGCTTAAAAGATAACAGATATGGCAATAGGATCCAAGTAAAGAAATGACAGTGGAGGCAGACAGAGTCTTGTAAGTTAGTGAATGGGCCTATAAAATGGTCAAGGTACATGTCACTTCAAGATGCTGTCATTGAAAGGATTTCTCAAGGTCCTTTCAGTCACAGTTTAGAGAGTTATATTGAAGCAATAAAGAGGATACTGTGGCTAAAGGACAAGTTAAATATTAACTATCTTTTGATCTATCAACTCTGTTTATGAAAGGTGAAACAGAATCTCCAGTGGAAAGTGACCTGCAGAGACAAGGTAAAGATCAAGAGGACACTGTGACAGAGGCTCCCAGGGATCCTTACTGGTGCACATTCTCAAGGAGTGGATCCTATACCTGCGTTCTGTGAGTTCTACAGATGGCTCAGCATCGGAGTTGGCTTCTAGTGAGCTTATTTCTCACTGACGTTCTTTTCTTGGAGGCTGCAAAAATCCTGACTATAGCTACAATGGGTGAGTGCCTTCTGTGAATGTAGAGTCTTGTAAGACCAGGATACTTGGGAGGGGAGTACATGTCTCATAAAAACAGCACGTACTGGATCATCTATACACGAGATTTTATAGCTAGGCCGAGAGAAAAATCTGAGGGAAGTCATACGGAGTGTGCAATGTGGTGCTTAGTAGGGATTGTACTAAGGGTGGGGGTAAATATTACATTGAAATAGCATCCAATGTAGAAACAGCAATAGTGCTCTTTGGTGGAAGATTATTATTGGCCAGAGCTCTGGATTCTCACCCTGGATATTACCTACAATGTAATTGAGAACATGGAAGAGCTGGTTTCTCTCTATGGAGTTTTGACACTTTTTGTGTCTTTACACTTACTTTTGGATTTCTTCATGTCAGTTATTTATGGTAATCAGATTTTTTTCATTTTTCTCCACAAAAATGAACTTATGTTTTATTTCTAGGTGGAAGCCATTATAGAGTGATGAACCAGGTGTCACAAATTCTTCAAGACCATGGCTATAATGTGACCAACCTGCTTCACGAAAATGTTCCCTTCCAAGGTACTTTTAAAATCAATTATATTAAATCAATTTAAGCAGTAAACACTAGCTTTTGATAAAATTTGTGTATTTGGTCTTATTTCAAGAAAAATCATGGTGTGTGTGTGCATGTATAAGTTTTATATATCTCATTAGACTATGGTTTCTTTGCCTCCTATGACATATTTCTGTATGTTACTTCATGGTATAAGTTGACAATGATTGCAGTATGTCCCCCAAATTTTAATGTGCAAGAACCAAGGGTATTAAACATTATTGAGCTCTAAGAATTAGGCCTAGTAAAAGCTGATTGGCCTATAAAGGTTTACACTTGGAAAGAAATTACATTGTCCTTCCAGGTGTGGATTATTTCTCAGTCGGGTAGGTGTTTTTTTTAAAAGAAAGATCCTTTCCTTCTCTGGTCTCTTTCTTCTCTTTTGTCATGTGGTTCTTGTATCTACCACTCATTACACACATCACCTTCTGTATTAAGATGCAGTGAAATGGCACCCAGCAAAGGCTATTCACACAGCTCCATGCAATCCTGGATGGTCAATCTTTAGATCCATGAGTTAAAGTATTTTTCATTTTTATTTTGTATATCTGTGTGTGATTGTATGTATTGATGCATAAATGTCCAAGAGTCCAATGAGGTCAAAAGAAGTGGTTAGGTCACCTGGACCTAGAGTTAAGAGGCAGTTGTGAGCTGCCTGATGGATGTGGTTGTAGGGAACTGAACATGGGCCCTCACAAATGCACACTTTTAACTGCAAAATCATCTCAGTAAAATATTACAAATATAAGTTAACTAATATCAAATATTTTATTATGACAACAAAATAGATTAAATTACTTGAGTGTCACTCCCAGTCAACACTACACATTATTATTGATCATTTGAGAAATTCTTATGTCAAATGTGTCTGATTGTAGTGTTGAACAGACATGCTCTGCCATACTGAGGGCTTTAATTATCTAAGAATTGCTACACTCGATGCCACACAAGCCTCTATGTATTTTTTAATGAGACCTACAATTTAAGAATTATTTTTCAGTGAACTTTATATTTATGCTTAAATTTTAGAATCTGTGATTGAGAAGACCTCAGATTCTTGAAGAATCAGTGGCTCCCCAAAAACTCTTAATTTATTGTATACAGAGAATCATACTCAAACTGAAGACCATCATCAGTCACTGCTGAGAGCTTAGGGCACAGAGCCCAGGAAACTTCAGCTCTTTAACCAGATATATTTTTACAGATTTAATTGTCCTTAATATTCTGGTTTCATAACTGCAATTCATGCTCACCCTGTTTTCTTAGTCCCACAACCATTGATCTATTGCTCAAAGGTACAGACTATCTCCTCCTTTAGCAAAGTATGCACAAAAGATATGCAAAATTTCTCCATAGCAGTGGAACTCATATCTTTTCTTTGTAGATTCAAGTGTTGCTGATTTCAGATTTCTTTTATTTCCCCTCTCTCTTCTCTCCCCTGCCACCATGTCCTCCTATTTGCTCTTCTTGTGTTCTTTCTTTTCTTTTTCTTTTTCTGATTTTTTTCTGAATCAGGCCCAGGCTGTTGTAGAACTCTCTCATGTAGTCATGGTTGTTGTCAAACTCACATGATTGCTCTCTTATCTTAGTTTCTCAACTTCTTGAATTATAAACATGAGTCACCACTCCGAACTCAGAGATCCTTTTTCTGTCCATGAACACTTGACATTTCTGATGTAATAATAGGTTAGTCTTTTTTTTTTGCTATTTCCCAGTAGAATTTTAATGTTAGCTTTTAGATTAGCAAATTTCCATATGGTTTCTGTAAAATCCTTAGTTTTGGCTAGTCCCTCCCCCAACTTTTTGATAACCTTCTGTCATCTTTGCCACTTAAACATTGTTGTTCTCACTATTTTTCTATATTTTCCTTTTTCATGCATCCTTCTCTTACCAGTGGCATCAGATTCCTCTTCCCAGTCATCCGTTGCCTCTTTCTAGTGTCTACAAACATTCCAAGGTCAGGGATGGAAACCTTGCTAGAATATCCCTAAAGTAACTAGTGAATTATTTATCTCCTATTTCTAGTCATTGATTCCTAGAATTCTGAGTTGTGGTAGTGTAGGAAATATTGCCATCTGCAGATATGGATAGGAATATGTATATATTAACCTGGAGTACATTGCCCTAGATTTTCAGTCCTGTTCCACCTATCTGAATCTGTACAATGTCTTCAAAAGTCACCCATTATTCTGTTGTATCCATTTCTTTAAAATGGGGGAAAGCATGGAAGGGAAGTGCATTAACACAAGAACAAAATTTTCTTATTTTCTAGATCCTTTGAAAGATACTCAGTGGAAAAGAGGCCAAACTTTTTGACAAGAACACAGCATAATTTTGTTTTTCATGTAATCATAGATATAGCTGAACCAATTTGTTGGGTCACACCTCAAGGTACTATAAAAATTGGAGGCTGTGTCACCTGTCACAATATTCTGAGCTCTGAAACAAACTGGATAGAACAGAACAGAATGGTATCTTAAACCAGAGGCCCTACAGGCGTCATTCTGAAAAGAAAACCAACAACAACAGAACAGAAAAGCACTTGTAAACCAGAAGCCAGATAATATAACCCTTAACCAGGGGACCCAAAAGGACAGCACAGAATACCTCTCTATGTGAAGGTAACAGAGAATGTTGGATCCTGGAAAGGAATAATTTTCATGTAAAATTCCTTGGTGGCCACTTGGGAGTTTTTCTGTTTTTGAGCTTTCTGAGTTTTCAGTCTCTCTGCAGCCTTTAGATTCTCTACCAATAAAATGATTTAATCGTCTCAGAGCAGGGCTGCCATTGGTTGAAAAGAATCATATGTGCCTATCCTGTCTGATACATGTTCACGGTATCTCTACAGTGTGCTTTTATTCAGAGAGATGGTATTTGCAGAGTTAGAGCAAAATACACCTTTTCTGATTTTTTGTCCTCATATCCTTAGTGGGTTTTTTATTTTATAGAGAACAAGAACAAAGGTAAAGACATCTGTTTGAAATTTAGTCGTGTACCTTTGATTATGTGAATCTTCTCTTAGATGGTTTGTTTTCCTTCATTATCCCTACTTTTTGTACACATAATAGAAGTAGGGGAAAGGTTCTCAAGCCCCAAGCAACCGAGTTTTGTATTCCTTCTCCACCACCAGTTTGGATGACATCTTGGTTTAAGATAAAATTGGAAAAACAACAGCAACAACAGAAACACTAGTGTCAGGACATGATTGCATAAGAATTCCGAGTGCTTATGAATATGGCACATGACTGCTGAACCATAGCTCCAGCCACTTGGCCTCTGTTTATAAACCTCTATGATAAAACATGGTTTGCCATGTGCACTTTGTCCATGTCCACTTTCCTCAGGTGACTCTTTTTAACCCTCAGAGTATAAATTGTCTGATGTCTGAATTGGCTATTGCATGAGACTACTCCATCTCATTCATCAGCTACATCCTACCAGGCCCCACTACACATACAGTGGTAAAGTGTGTATGTATTGACAATCTTCTAAAAGGCACATGCATATTCATTAGGCAGAATGAACAACAAATGTGCTCTTATAGCATGGACTACACCATGCCCTTATTATTATGATGCAGTAACAGTCCACTAGGTATCTTTTCTTTATAGATTTTTTTATTGTTTTTTTATTGAGAAAAGGAGAAAGAAAAACAAGTTTCCACCTCCTCCCAGCCTCCCATTTCCCTTCCCCTCCTCCCTCCCTTCTCCCCCTCCTCCCACCTTTCTCCCCCTCCCCCCACTCCTCTCCCCCTCCCTCTCCAGTCCAAAGAGCAGTCAGGGTTCCCTGTCCTGTGGTAAGTCCTAGGCCCTCCCCCCTCCGTCTATATCTAGGAAGGTGAACATCCAAACTGGCTAGGCTCTCACAAAGCCAGCACATTAAGTAGGATCAAAACCCCATGCCATTGTCCTTGGCTTCTCATCAGCCCTCATTGTTCGCCATGTTCAGAGAGTCCAGTTAATCCCATGCTTTTTCAGTCACAGTCCAGCTGGCCTTGGTGAGCTCCCAATAGATCAGCCCCACTGTCTCAGTGGGTGGGTGCACCCCTCGTGGTCCCGACTTCTTTGCTCATGTTCTCCCTCCTTCTGCTCCTCATTGGGACCTTGGGAGCTCAGTCTAGTGCTCCAGTGTGGGTCACTGTCTCTATCTCCATCCATCACCAGATGAAGGTTCTATGATGATATGCAAGATATTTGTCAGTATTGCTATAGGATAGGATCATTTCCGGTTCCCTATCCTCAGCTGCCCAAGGAACTAACTGGGGACATCGCCTTGGGCACCTGGGAGCCACTCTAGGTTCAAGTCTCATGCCAACCCTAAGGTGGCTCCCTTAACTAAGAATTGTGCTTCCGTGTTCCCCTATCCAACCTTCCTTTATCCAAATCCTCCTTTTTCCCCAAGTTCCCCACATCCTCCCCTTCTCCCTTTTCTCTCCCCATCTCCCCTTACCCCCATCCCACCCCACCCCCAAGATCCCAATTTTCTCCCCGGCAATTTTGTCTACTTCCCATAGCCAAGAGGATAACTATATGTTTTTCCTTTGGTTCACCTTCTTTCTTAGCTTCTTTAGGATCACCAATTGTAGACACCGTGACCCTTATTTATGGCTAGAAACCAATTATGAGTGAGTACATCCCATATTCATCTTTTTGGGTCTGGGTTACCTCACTCAGGATAGTGTTTTCTATTTCTATCCATTTGCATGTAAAATTCAAGAAGTCATTGTTTTTTACCGCAGCGTAGTACTCTAATGTGTAGATATTCCACACTTTCTTCATCCATTCTTCCATTGAAGGGCATCTAGGTTGTTTCCAGGTTCTGGCTATTACAAACAATACTGCTATGAACATAGTTGAACGAATGCTCTTGTCATATGATAGGGCATCTCTTGGGTATATTCCCAGGAGTGGTATTGCTGGGTCCAGGGGTAGGTTGATGCCGAATTTCCTGAGAAACCAAAACACTGATTTCCAAAGTGGTTGCACAAGATTGCATTCCCACCAGCAATGGATGAGGGTACCCCTTCCTCCACAGCCTCTCCAGCAAAGGCTATCATTGGAGTTTTTTATTTTAGCCATTCTGACAGGTGTAAGATGATATCTCAAAGTTGTTTTGATTTGCATTTCCCTGATCGCTAAGGAGGTTGAGCATGACCTTAAGTGTCTTTTGGCCATTTGAACTTCCTCTGCTGAGAATTCTCTGTTCAGTTCAGTGCCCCATTTTTTAACTGGGAAGTACCCTACAACAAATGGGCACAGGAGATCACTTCCTATGTGTAACCCCAACAGCACAGACATTAAGGGCAACATTGAATAAATGGGACCTACTAAAACTGAGAAGCTTCTGTAAAGCAAAGGACACTGTCACCAAGACAAAAAGGCAACCTACTGACTGGGAGAAGATCTTCACCAACCCCGCAACAGACAAAGGTCTGATCTCCAAAATATATAGAGAACTCAGGAAACTAGACTTTAAAATGCTAATTAACCCAATTCTTTAGAGATTTAACAATAGTTCAAACTGTGTTTTTAAAATAGAGATAGGGTGGGTAAGCTAGCCATCTCTGCTTTAAACATCTTTTCTAATAGGTTGTATTCAATGAAGGCCCAGCATCCTTCAATTTTGGGCAGCATTGTTAAATATCCCCTGTTAGAAAGGATCCATAGCACTACTTTTTTTGTCAACTGACTAAGTGCTAAGAACTTTCGAATTTGCTAAATGCACAGCCAAGCCCATCACGGGATGTGGCAGGAAAGTAGTTTAGATGTAGCATCATGAATAATTAGTTTCATTGTAGATCAGTCACTCATTTTTTCCCTCCTGTTTTACATTTGGTGACATTGAAAGGCAGAGATGGTGCAAATTAAATGTAGTGACATATTCTGATATTGAAAACTTTTACTTTAATATGGTTTAATGCATGTGATAACATTTTCCACCAGTTAAATTCCCCTGATATTAATGCTAATTTAGATACACAAAATGTAATATGAGTCCTTTGCAGTTTTCTCTAAAAATCTTTGTGTATGTTCTTGTACAACACTTGATCCACACTCAATTCCTTCTTTTGACTGTTGCTTGACTTCCCTTGGTGATGATGTTTGTCTTTCTAAGCTTCTCATATTAACTACTTCTTCCAGAGAGACCTAACCAGTATCATCAAAGAGAATGGCAATTTTGAAAGGTCCTAGTCTAAAATCAAGTTTGAAGTGAACCATTGATTGTGTTTCAGTGATGCTGTGGCTACTTCTTCATGCAACACCTTTTATAGCAATTGTTAGCTGCGAAATGGAATCAGTAAGGACAGAAAGGGCATTTTCCAAGATCCTCTGTGACTGCTATCAGTGTTGTGTGGTCATAAGCATTCAGTTAGATCTATTCATCTGGATATATATATTTTGTACGGTGCATCCATCCCAACACTTTACTGTGTGCACCACTGCCCTACACACATACTCTCTTCTACCGAAGAGAATCAGTCATAGTTTGTCCTGCAATCTATAATCATGACCTTGTCTGAGATCCAATGTAGGGTTGGTCTGTGTCACATGATGCAAGAACAAAGTAAAGAAAGTTCTAATCCTGTAGTCTCTCATCAAATACTCATTATTGAAACTCTCCTGTTAGGTTCATGTGAGAATTCTGTTTTTGGCCTAGGTCTCTTGATTTGAAATTCTCATCAATAATATGAGAGGATGGGTTAAACTTTTTATTTCTGGTAAAATGAGAGATATAGCTTGAAATTTCAGGAATCAAACTTCAAAAGTGGAATCAGATTATTCTTTACACATGAGTTCTTAGGTGGCTAGTGAAAGCATGGTGGATACTTCCTTCCTTCCTCACTCCCTCCTTCTCTCCTTCCCTCACTTTCCTTGGTCCTTCCTTCCTTCCTTCCTTCCTCCCTTCCTCCCTCCCTCCCTCCCTCCCTCCCTCCCTCCCTCCCTCTCTTCCTTCCTTTTTTCCATCCATCCTTCCTTCCTACCTTTCATTTTTTTTCTTTTTTTGACTAGAGGTAGAACCTTTGAATCTAATCAAACTGCAAAATCTCTTTGTGTGGTGATATTTTGTTTACGCTAAAACAAATAGCGCTTGCCTGAAGATCAAGTGCAGAGCTAAGCAACTAATTAGCCGTAGAGCCCAGGCAATGGTGGCACACACCTTTAATCCAGCACTTGGGAGACAGAGCCAGATGGATCTTTGTGATTTCAAGTCCACTTTGGGCTACATGAGCTTGAATTTGTCTAAAAGAGAAAGAGAGTTCACATATCTTTATTCCCAGCTCTAGGGAGGTGGAAACAGGAGTGATATGGTTGAGCAGAGGGTGGAATATAAGGCTGGAGAAGAGAGGAATTCAGGCAGTGTGAGGATTCCTAGAGGCAGATGCAGACTGAGATGCAGTCAGAGGATTCGTAGGGACAGGATCGCCCTTTCGTCTGAGCTTTGATAGTGGTAAGAGCTCCAGTGGCTGCCGCTCTGCTTTTCTGACCCTTCTGCTTTCAGCTCCTAATAACTCACTTTGGGTTATTATTATTAAGACCAATTAGAATTCGTGCTGCATCTTTGTACTGGCACATATTTATAATCTAAGTGCTAGTAAGCCTAAAGAAACAAGATTTTGGGTTGAAAGCCAATTGGAGTCACTAAATATGACTTTGCCACAAACAAACAAACAAACAAACAAGCACCAAACAAGAAATAAACAACAACAAAAACCAGACAAATAAATCAACACATTGCATATTTCATTTCATTTTATTTTTATTTTTTGTGAAAACCAGGGACTCTACAATTAAACTGACTTGTAGTTTACTGCAAACCCTAACTCACTGTGATGACAAAGTCAGTAAATCATTTCAGACTATTTTCCCTCATGCTTTGTCACAGGTAAAGTGAAAAATAGCAGCTGTTTCTTTAAATGAAATCTGTTGCAGGGAAATTTTCATTACAGAAGACTGTATAAAGTTCTATTCTTTTTTTTTTCTGACCAGAGTGCTGGTGCTGTACACCTTTAACCCCAGCACTCAGGAAGCAGAGACATGCAGATCTCTGAGTTTGAGGTCAGCCTTGTCTACAGAGTGAGTTACAAGACAGGCTCCAAAGATACAGAAAACCCTGTCTATAAAAACAGAAAGAAAAAAAGCAAAAACAACAAAAAATTCTTGAATTATTGTAAAGTATCAATAAATGTTATTATATTACAGAATTGAATAGATTCAAAGAAGAACAAACCACTGAAAATCAAAACTAAATTTCCACAAAAATGTGAAGCTGTGTTAATTATTTTATCACTGTAATAATGTGTGGTATATTGTGATATATTTAAATATCATTCAATTGATGTTTTCTTAGATTTTGAAAAGGAGAAATTATCATATGAGGTTATAACTTGGCGTCCACCTGAAGATCAGGAAAAAGAATTTCATAATAGATTATATCTCCTTGTGGAAGAATTATTTAATGAAAGGTAATTTACTTTATTTCTTGGAACCAAAGTATTGCTGATTAAGTCCTATGCATGAGTATATCATAGTCGTATGATACTTTGAGTGAGTTTAAGGGAAGCAATGATTGGATGATTTATTCAGTGTCGGGATGGATTGTTTTTGAGTGATGCCTGGTAGATGACTGACAGCTGCTGAAACTGTGTCAGTAGGCCATGACCTTGTGCTGATGCCCAGATTAGTAGAAATGGGTTAATTTAAGATATAAGAGTTAGCCAGAAATACGATTAAGATATTGACCAAACAATATTACAATTAATACATATTTCTGTATGGTTATTTTGAACCAAGGCAGTCAGGGAACAAATAAGCAGCCTCTGGCAACAAATTGGCACAGCAGTATTGGGCAAGAATTTCCACATAAAGTATAAGAAAGCTTTTAAAAAAAGGTTTCTATATGCACAAAAACAGGAGGCAAGCACAATTTCCTGGTAACAGCATTTTTTTCCCCAGATAGGCTCTGCTTGCAAGTGAGGTGCAGTAAAAGCTGTGTGGCTTCTTTAATAAACAGTGGCTTCCTCGTTCACCTGCACAAATGGCTCTTACTCTTTAGAGATTTCTGGCTACAGAACATTTAAATGTGGTTGTGAATAGAGTGTTACAACTTGCTTAATGGCAACATAGACCTACTGTGTGCCTAAAAATGGGACTGGGAGCATGGCTCACAGAGGTTACCAACATGCCTCCACCATGTTGGACTGGGTAGTGCCAACAGGCAGAACTGTGGTGTTGATTCTAGTCATGCCTGCTTAGCATAAAAAAGTGCTCATGGTCATAAAGTAATTACAGATATGCAATAAAGACAGATTCAGATAAACGACATCTAAGTAAGTCGCAGTGTTGGATATATGTATGTAGGTTTGAGAGAAAGAGAAGAAAAAATAAAGAAAAAGAAAAAAAGCCTTTTAAGAGCACAGACAGTCATATTAAACTTGTAGAAAAAGTAATAGAGTAAGAAAGGTAAGCCACGTAAAGATGGAATATACACAGAGAGTTTGGATTTTAAATATTATTGTGTTTTCTTTGAATTTTTTTGACTACAGAGAAATATTTGATTCTACAGGCTGCTAAGCTAAACCATCATATATGTTTTAAAAGTATCTTGACTTCAAAATTTGGGAATAAGAATTTGTTGCTTTGGAAAAGAGGTTCTTCTTTTGTTTCAACAGAGGATGAGAACCTGTGAATTCCTTCCAGACTAATGTGGTTTGGTGGACCAAGATCTGCTGAAAAGTCGCCATGAACACTCCCCAAAATTACTTTGCCCAACAAAAATCAGGAAGCAGTTTGGAGAGAACTAGGTCCAAATTCCCAAATATTGTTTATAAGTGTTTGTTTACGTTTAATGGGGGATCTGATATAGAGATGGATACTTTGCCTTGGTATGGATCTTGGTTTATTGATAAAAATTTAAGGTCAATTTTGTTATATGTATATTTCTTCTCTTGATTAAAGTATTGTGTTTGTGCAGCTCATTGAAAAATGTATTCTATAATTAAAAAATACAGGTTAATAGATAGTCATCTCTAATAGTCAATCTTGTAGCCATGTTAGTTATGTTTTCTAGATATACAAAGATATATTTCAGATGGATAGATATTCTTCAGAACTTTCAAAGACCTACAGAATATGATATTCAAGATGTTTTGAGAACTTAGGACTTTTCATGACAGTGAAACACATTTGCTCCTGGCAGCATCAATCTACTCCAAGAGGTTGATGGGCATCAAAGAGGCTCCTTATGTAGTTGTTCAGTCATTTGGGAAAGAAACTGCTCTTGTCTGAACTACTTGATGTTATACTGTATGAACTAGACATGCAGGACCCACTGAAAAATGACTGCTGACCTTGCCCAAAGCTGAGACACTCCTTCATGGTTCCTACTTCATGAAAGTATCTTCCAGACACGCAGCAGGACACAGAAAAAGGTGACTGACAAATTGCTAATATAGGCAGAACTGTCTTTGAAATTTCTTGATCATGGAAATGTCTGCCAGATATTATGGGCTTGTAGGATGAAGAATGGAAGCCCCAATATTACAGAAGAATGTTCAGTGACTGTCCAGGCCATGAGATGTCTCTGTCAATTCTAGAGTTTGGAAGTTGCTTACAATGCACTTCCTGTTTACTTAGGTAATATTATGTCCTTCTGGAGTCTTTGATGGACTTTAAGAATAGATAGTAATAGTTTTCCTTAGTTATGATAAAATATAAAGTAGATATAAATATTGTAACTATAATTCTTGCTTGATACCGTTTTTGTTATATGTAATTTTACTATGTTAATGTTAAAATCTTCCTTTTAATTTAGACAGAAAGGGTGAAATGGGGTGGGAAGTCCTTCTGTATATCTGTTGCTTTCATTGGTTAATAAATAAGAATCTTCTTTGGACTGTGATAGGGTAAAATGTAGCTAGATGGGATAACTAAACTGAATGCTGGGAGAAAGTAGGCAGAGTCAGCGAGAATCTATTTAGCTGCTGCCAGAGACAGATGCCTCTGCTGGAGCCCATTTAAACTGTGCCAGTAGGCCACGACCTTGTGGTCATGCACAGATTATAGAAATGGGTTAATTTAAGATGTAAGAGTTAGCCAGAAATACACTTAAGCTATTGGCCAAACAATATTGCAACGAATACAGATTTTTGTGTGATTATTTTGAGTCAGGGCGGTCGGGGAATGAATGAGCAGCCTTCGGAAACTTGGAAGCGTGTGTGTGTGTGTGTGTGTGTGTGTGTGCGACCTCAGAGTGTGCTGGAAATCTTATGAGCTTTGCTCATGTTGCTTCATAGTGCCTTGTATTCTCAGTGTTCTCCATTCTTTTGGCTCTTTCATTCTTTCAGCCTGCTCTTCCTACCAATTCATTAATCTCCAAAGCGAGAGATTTGATGGAGACATTCCATTTAGGTTTGAGTATTCCAAGGTCTCTTACTCTACATTGTGCCTGGCTGTGGGTCTTTATATTTGCTCCCATCTGCTGCAGGAGGAAAATTCTCTGGTGGTGAATGAGCAAGTTACAGATCTACTAGCTTATCAAAATATCTTTAGAAGTCATTTTCTTGATACACTTTTTTTTGTTTTGATTTTTAACCTTATAGTATTTGTTGATTTCCTAGGTGCTTGAGTTATGTAATCCCAGGTTCTTGATTATCCAAGCAGTATTAGGCATAGATTTCATCTCATGGAATGGGCCTTAAATCAAATTAATTTTTGGTTGGTTGTTCCCAAAAGTTTGCATCTATATTGCCCTAGCACATCTTGCAAGGAGGACAACATTGTAGACCAGTGGTTTTGTGGTTGGCTTGGCATTTATATTTTTCCTTTGTGTTCAGAGAATGTGCTTATACCAAGGATACTAGATGCTAGGCTCTCTAAAGGCAGCAGATCAATTTCGCCATGATCAATGATCTGTGTAGGTATTGTCTTCAGCAATAGTATCTTGCTGCCAGTTTGTGAAGAACAATCTATAGTTTTAGCAACTACCTGGGTTGTTTGGGGTATTCCATTTGGCCAACAATTCAATTATATTTGACCGAATTATGGTACTGGAAGCTCATTTGCTGCCAGGAGATGGATAATTAGGGCTCTGTCTCCTCTATTATTTGTCAGTTTTACTGAGAACACCTTCATATATGTGTATATTTTATGAAATGTCTATTGTTTTAAGTTTTTATACTACCCCTCAATTGCTATTAATTTTAAATGTGTCTGCCTGCATTCCCTCTCTCATCACTTTCTCTACTCCATACTTCATCCTATCATTCCAGACTCTCACTTCCACCCACAACTCCCTACATTTTCCTTTCTTAATAATATCTCCTTGTTCCTACATTTCCCTTACTCTACACCTAAACTCTGCAGTTCTATGGATTGTAGGCTGGTTATTATTGGCATAACAGCTAATCGCCACAGGTAACCTCATAATTTTCTTAATGTCCAGGTGATATACATGAACCTCAGGCTTTTAGCCCTTGACTGTGATGCTCAGAACCTCCTTTGTCTTCTACATGGATGACAAGTTCACATGTGTCCCTTAGTTAAGTCCATTGGTCTCACTCCCATCTCTGTCCTTGAAAATTCTACTTAATAGTCACGGTTGTGCTAACAGCATCAAGATTCTTTTTGGAAAACTTTCTCACTCACAGTAACTTAAAGACCATATATCATTTGTCATATATTTGAAAGAAGTCAAATTGCACCTTAGTCTATGAGGGTAGATATTTATACACATTTAAAACATGTATATTGTGTCTCCTTCTAAGTTTGTACTTTTGAGGAGTAGCTCAAATTACAGGTAGAATACAGTCAAGTTGCCGAGACCAGCATCTTCTTGATAATTTTTGCGATTGATTTTCCTCACAGGGATCACCATTCTGTTGTCAAGAAACCAAACCTGCACATACTATAGCTATTTAGAAATTATTACCTAAATATATATTTTAAGATGGATTGTAGATGATAAATGTAGAGGATTATGATTTGCATAAATCTATTTCTATTATTATAACAGATTAACAGAATTTGGGTGAATATATAATGAAAAGAAGCATATTTAAGTCACAATTGTGGAAGTTCAAGATTATGGGGCTAACAGCAGTCAGCTTGATTGAAGACACCATGATAGATGGTGTCATAATGACTAAAGTATGTGTGATTGGAAGAGTCAAGAGAAGGGAAAGAACAGGTTTGCATCTCCCATAGGAGTTAACTCAAAGTCCACTGCAGATCATTTCAAACATCTAAAGGAAAGGGCCTCTAATAATCTCATACTAAGTTGTTCTCTTAAAGATACCACCTCCCTACAGCCACATTGAACAACATCTCTCTGACAGAGGAACACTTGAAGGCAAACCTCAGTTGTTGTGACTTGAAGTTGAGTCGAGAATGAGCAAAGATAGGAGTGTGCCACTGGGCTCTCATCTTGTGGATCTTTTGATGTATGATTGGAGCACAAATTCTAATTGGTCTTAATAAATAAAACCCTGAGTCAGATATTAGGGGGAGAATCTGGAGGGTTCATAAAACAGGGCAGCCAGACACTAGAGTTCTTTTACCACTACTAATGTTCAGATTGAAGAAGAAATCCTGTTTTCAGATTGTATCTTCAGACTCCATCTGTCTCCACCAAACCTCAGACTGCTTCCAGCTTGTGTCCTCCTGCCTTATATTCCTCTCTTCCCAGTCATATCACTCCTGTCTCCACCTTTCTAATGCTGAGATTAAAGATGTGTGACTCCCAAATACCAGGATTAAAGGTGTTTGACACCACTGCCTGGCCTCTAGTGGCTTAGTTCTGCACTCTGATCTTCAGGAAATCTTCAATTTTAAAACACAAACAAAATATCACTACATAGAAAGATATCACACACTTGTGCATCTTACCAGCTCACTTATCTGGTAAGCATTGATGTAAAAGATTCATCAATAAGATGACTAAAATTTAGCACAATCTTCAGTGGAAATTTGACTCAGAATTGTGATAATACTCTTCCAATCACATTTATGTTTACCATTAGAAATTTGAGCATGTGAAAAATTAGGTTTTATCATGGATTTTAAAGAATTCATAACTTTCGCTATCCTTTGCTCTAATTTGCCCCAACCACCAACACATCTTTCTATGTCTCCTAACCACTTCTAATGTCTTTAATTTTAAGTGCTTTCATGGCCTCTTTTCTAATTTCATCACCTAAAAAGGAAATATCCATAAATGCACACAACCACACACAGTGTTAAATTTAGGTATCACACAAAATAGAAAAAAAAATCACTAGATCAGATAATGTGCTTTTTTTTATTGAGAAAAGGAAGAAAAAAAAAACAAGTTTCCACCTCCTCCCAGCCTCCCATTTCCCTTCCCCTATTCCCACCCTTCTCCCCCTCCTCCCATCCTTCTCCCCCTCCTCCCACTCCTCTCCCCCTCCCTCTCCAGTCCAAAGAGCAGTCAGGGTTCCCTGCCCTGTGGTAAGTCCTAGGTCCTCCCCCCTCCGTCTATATCTAGGGAGGTGAACATCCAAACTGGCTAGGCTCCCACAAAGCAGGCACATTGCGTAGGATCAAAACCCTGTGCCATTGTCCTTGGCTTCTCATCAGCCCTCATTGTTCGCCATGTTCAGAGAGTCCAGTTTTAACCCATGCTTTTTCAGTCACAGTTCAGCTGGCCTTGGTGAGCTCCCAGTAGATCAGCTCCACTGTCTCAATGGGGGGGGGTGCTCCCCTCGTGGTCCCGACTTCTTTGCTCATGTTCTCCCTCCTTCTGCTCCTCATTGGGACCTTGGGAGCTCAGTCTAGTGCTCCAGTGTGGGTCTCTGTCTCTATCTCCATCCATCACCAGATGAAGGTTCTATGATGTTATGCAAGATATTCGTCAGTATTGCTATAGGCTAGGGTCATTTCCGGTTCCCTATCCTCAGCTGCCCAAGGAACTAATGGGGACCTCGGCTTGGGCTCCTGGGAGCCACTCTAGGTTCAAGTCTCTTGCCAACCCTAAGGTGGCTCCCTTAACTAAGAATTGTGCTTCCGTGTTCCCCTATCCTACCTTCCTTTATCCCAATCTTCCTTTTTCCCCAAGTTCCCACCTTCCTACCCTTCTCCCTTTTCTCTCCCCATCTCCCCTTACCCCCATCCCACCCCACCCCCAAGATCCCAATTTTCTCCCCGGCAATTTTGTCTACTTCCCATAGCCAAGAGGATAACTATATGTTTTTCCTTTGGTTCAACTTCTTACTTAGCTTCTTTAGGATCACCAATTGTAGACACCGTGACCCTTATTTATGGCTAGAAACCAATTATGAGTGAGTACATCCCATATTCATCTTTTTGGGTCTGGGTTACCTCACTCAGGATAGTGTTTTCTATTTCCATCCATTTGCATGCAAAATTCGAGAAGTCATTGTTTTTTACCGCAGTGTAGTACTCTAATGTGTAGATATTCCATACTTTCTTCATCCACTGTTCCACTGAGGGGCATCTAGGTTGTTTCCAGGTTCTGGCTATTACAAATAATACTGCTATGAACATGGTTGAACAAATGCTGTTGTCATATGATAGGGCATCTCTTGGGTATATTCCCAGGAGTGGTATTGCTGGGTCCAGGGGTAGGCTGATTCCGAATTTCCTGAGAAACCGAAACACTGATTTCCAAAGTGGTTGCACAAGATTGCATTCCCACCAGCAATGGACGAGGGTACCCCTTCCTCCACAGCCTCTCCAGCAAAGGCTATCATTGGAGTTTTTTATTTTAGCCATTCTGACAGGTGTAAGATGATATCTCAAAGTTGTTTTGATTTGCATTTCCCTAATCGCTAAGGAGGTTGAGCATGACCTTAAGTGTCTTTTGGCCATTTGAACTTCCTCTGCTGAGAATTCTCTGTTCAGTTCAGTGCCCCATTTTTTAATTGGGTTAATTAGCATTTTAAAGTCTAGTTTCCTGAGTTGTCTATATATTTTTGGAGATCAGACCTTTGTCTGTTGTGGGGTTGGTGAAGATCTTCTCCCAGTCAGTAGGTTGCCTTTGTGTCTTGGTGACAGTGTCCTTTGCTTTACAGAAGCTTCTCAGTTTTAGTAGGTCCCATTTATTCAATGTTGCCCTTAATGTCTGTGCTGTTGGGGTTACACATAGGAAGCGATCTCCTGTGCCCATCTGTTGTAGGGTACTTCCCACTTTCTCTTCTATTAGGTTCAATGTGTTCTTACTGATAGTGAGGTCTTTAATCCATTTGGACTTGAGTTTTGTGCATGGTGATAGAAATGGATCTATTTTCATTCTTCTACAGGTTGACATCCAGTTATGCCAGCACCATTTGTTGAAGATGCTTTCTTTTTTCCATTGTATACTTTTGGCTCCTTTATCAAAAATGAGGTGTTCATAGGTTTGTGGGATAAAATTCGGGTCTTCTATATGATTCCATTGGTCGACTTCTCTGTTTTTATGCCAGTACCACACTGTTTTCATCACTGTAGCTCTGTAATAGAGTTTGAAGTCAGGGATGGTAATGCCTCCAGACAATCCTTTATTGTATAGGATTGTTTTCGCTATCCTGGGTTTTTTGTTTTTCCATATAAAGTTGATTATTGTCCTCTCAAGATCTGTGAAGAATTTTGATGGGACCTTGATGGGGATTGCATTGAATCTATAAATTGCCTTTGGTAGAATTGCCATTTTTACTATGTTGATCCTCCCAATTCAAGAGCAAGGGAGGTCCTTCCATTTTCTGATATACTCCTCAATTTCTTTCTTCAATGCCTTAAAGTTCTTGTCAAATAGATCTTTCACTTCCTTGGTTAGAGTACCCCAAGATATTTTATGCTGTTTGTGGCTATCGTGAAAGGTGAAGCTTCTCTGATTTCCCTCTCTGCTTCCATATCCTTTGTGTATAAGAGGGCGACTGATTTTTTGGAGTTGATCTTGTATCCTGCCACATTACTAAAGGTGTTTATCAGCTGTAAAAGTTCTATGGTGGAGTTTTGGGGGTTGCTTATGTACACTATCATATCATCTGCAAATAACGAAAGTTTCACTTCTTCCTTTCCAATTTGAATCCTCTTGATCCCCTTATGTTGTCTTATTGCTATTGCTAGAACTTCAAGCAATATATTGAAGAGGTATGGTGAGAGTGGACAGCCTTGTCGTTTTCCTGAGTTTAGTGGGATGGCTTTGAGTTTCTCTCCATTTAATTTGATGTTAGCTGTTGGCTTGCTGTATATAGCTTTTATTATATTTAGGTATGATCCTTGTATCCCTAATCTCTCCAATACTTTTATCATAAAGGGATGTTGAATTTTGTCAAATGATTTTTCAGCATCTAATGAAATGATCATATGATTTTTTTCTTTCAGTTTATTTATATGATGGATTACATTGATAGATTTTCATATGTTGAACCAGCCCTGCATCCCTGGGATGAAGCCTACTTGATCATAATGGATAATTTTTTGATGTGTTCTTGGATTCGGTTTGCCAGTTTTTTGTTGAGGATTTTTGTATCGATGTTCGTGAGTGAGATTGGTCTATAATTCTCTTTCTTGGTTGAGTCTTTGTGTGGTTTTGGTATCAGAGTAACTGTAGCTTCATAAAAGGAATTTTGCAATGCCTTTTCTGTTTCTATATTGTGAAATACATTAAGGAGTATAGGTATTAGCTCTTCTTGGAAGTTCTGGTAGAATTCCGCATTGAAACCATCTGGTCCTGGGCTTTTTTTGGTAGGGAGGTTTTTGATAACCGCTTCTAATTCTTCGCGACTAACAGGTCTATTTAGATTGTTCACCTGGTCCTGGTTTAACTTTGGTATATGGTATTTATCTAAAAAAGTGTCCATTTCCTTTACATTTTTCAGTTTTGTGGCATATAGGCTTTTGTAGTAAGGTCTAATGATTCTCTGAATTTCCTCTGTGTCTGTGGTTATGTCCCCCTTTTCATTTCTGATCTTATTAATTTGCCTATTCTCTCTCTGCCGTTTGATTAGTTTAGATAGGGGTTTATCAATCTTGTTGATTTTCTCCAGGAACCAGCGTTTTGTTTCATTGATCCTTTGTATTGTTTTCTGTGTTTCTATTTTGTTGATTTCAGCCCTCAGTTTGATTATTTCCAGTCTTCTACTCCTCCTAGGTGAGTCTGCTTCTTTTTTTTTCTAGAGCTTCAGGTGGGCTGTTAAGTCTCCAATGTGAGCTTTCTCTGTTTTCTTTAAGTGGGCACTTAGTGCTATGAACTTTCCTCTTAGGACTGCTTTCATAGTGTCCCATAAGTTTGAGTATGTTGTTTCTTTATTTTCATTGAATTCCAGGAAGACTTTAATTTCTTTCTTTATTTCTTCCTTGATCCAGGTATGGTTCAGTAGTTGACTGTTCAGTTTCCATGAATTTGTAGGCTTTCTGGGGGTAGCATTGTTGTTGAATTCTAACTTTAATTCATGGTGATCTGATAAGACACAGGTGGTTACTAATATTTTTTTGTAACTGTGGATGTTTGCTTTGTTACCGACTATGTGGTCGATTTTTGAGAAAGTTCCATGAGCTGCAGAGAAGAAAGTATATTCTTTCCTATTTGGGTGGAATGTTCTATAGATGTCTGTTAAGTCCATTTGATTCATTACCTCCATTAATTGTCTTATTTCTCTGTTAGGTTTCTGTCTGATTGACCTGTCCATTGGTGAGAGAGGAGTGTTGAATTCTCCTACTATTAGTGTGTGCGGTTTGATGGCTGCCTTGAGTTTTAGTAATGTTTCTTTTACGTACGTGGGCGCTTTTATATTAGGGGCATAGATATTCAGGATTGAGACTTCATCCTGATGAACTGTTCCTGTTATGAGTATAAAATGCCCCTCTCCATCTCTTCTGATTGATTTAAGTTTGAAGTCTACTTTGTTAGAGATCAGTATGGCCACACCTGCTTGTTCCTTAGGTCCATTTGCTTGATAAGCCTTTTCCCATCCCTTTACTCTGAGTAGGTGCCTGTCTTTGTGGTTGAGGTGTGTTTCTTGTAAACAGCAGAATGTTGGATCCTGTTTTCGTATCCAATCTCTTAGCCTGTGCCTTTTAATAGGTGAGTTGAGTCCATTGACATTAAGTGATATTAATGACCAGTGGTTGTTAACTCCGGTCACTTTTTTAGTCATAGAGTTTGTGTGTTTCCCTTCTTTGATTTGCGCTGGTGAAGGGTCTCTAGATATCTGAGTTATTGTGGTCATTGTTGGACTCCTTGGTTAGTGATTTTCCTTCTATTATTTTCTGTAAGGCTGAATTTGTGGCTACGTATTGTTTAAATTTGTTTTTATCATGGAAAATTTTATTTTCTCCATTTATAGTGAACAAAAGCTTGGCTGGGTATACTAGTCTGGGCTTGCATCCATGGTCTCTCAGTTTCTGCAGTACATCTATCCAGGACCTTCTGGCTTTCATTGTTTCCATGGAGAAGTCAGGTGTAAGTCTGATAGGTTTACCTTTATAAGTAATTTGGCCTTTTTCTTTTGCAGCTCTTAATATTCTTTCCTTATTCTGTATGCTTTGTGTTCTGAAAATTATATGGCGCGGGGATATTTTTTTTTGATCCAGCCTGTTCGGTGTTCTGTATGCTTCTTGAACCTTCATAGGTATATCTTTCTTTAGGTTGGGAAAGTTTTCTTCTATAATTTTATTAAATATATTTTCTGGACCATTGAGCTGCACTTCTTCTCCTTCTTCTACTCCTATCATTCTTAGGTTTGGCCTTTTTATTGTGTCCCATATTTCCTGAATGTTTTGTGATGAGAGTTTGTTGGACTTGCTGTTTTCTTTGATCAGTGTGTTTATTTTCTCTATGGTATCTTCAGAATCTGAGATTCTTTCTTGTAACTCTTGTATTCTCTTGATTATGCTTGTTTCTGTAGACTCTGTTTGTTTACTTAAATTTTCCATGTCCAGCCGGCCCTCTGTTTGTGTTTTCTTCTTTGCCTCCATTTTAGTTTTCAAGTCTTGAACTGTTTCCATTATCTGTTTGATTGTTTTTCCTTGGTTTTCTAGGGTATCATTCACTGATTTATTCAGGTCTTCAAACTTTCTGTTATATTTCTCATCCATTTCTATAAGGGCGTTTTTTACATGCTGTTTAAGGGCATCAATCACTTTCATGAAGTCATTCTTTTCTACATCTTCTTGATTAAGGTGTTCATGTCCTCCCTTTGTGAGGTCGCTGGTTTCTGTTGGCTTCATGTTGCTTTTCAGCTTGTTGGGTTAATTCTTGCATTGGTGTCTGCCCATCTCTTCTTCCAAATGCTCCCTTATGGATCTTCTTTTACTGGATCAGGTCTCCTTGCCTACCCAATGCTGGCTCTCCCCTATGTTGGCTCTCCCCAATGCTGGCTCTCCTGGTGCCCCAACGATGGCTCTCCCCAATGCTGGCTCTCCTGGCGCCGAGAGATCAGGCCTCCGTGCTGATGGGGCAGTTCGCAAACAAAGCGCCTACCCTGCTTGGTGCAGGCAGGTCATAGAAGCAGAGGAACTCCCACCCGCTTGGGTGCCCCGAGGATTCGGACCCAGTGCCCAGACAGGCTGGGCTGGGTGATGTTATGTCCAGATAATGTGCTTATGTTTGCCTTGTTGTGGAATACTTTAATTGAATTTATCATTATTCCAAATAGTAAGAAATATCTTCCCCAAATATTTGCTGTAATTTTTTTGCAGGTTCAATCATCACACACTTGTAAAGGTATATAAATACTTTGCGGACTTATGCAGTCACTTATTAAGCAGAAAGGACATCATGGACTCCTTGAGGAATAAGAACTTTGACCTGGTATTTTTGGATGCAGCAGAACCCTGTGTTTTCTTAATTGCTGAGAAACTTGAAAAACAATTTGTGGCTTTTCTTCCGACGCAATTTAGTTCTATGGACTTTGGACTCCCTAGCCCCTTGTCTTATGTTCCAGTGTTTGGTTCAAGACTAACTGATCAAATGGACTTCTGGGGCCGAGTGAAGAACTTCCTGATGTTCTTTGATTTCTCCATGAAGCAAAGACAAATATTTTCTCAATATGATGCAACCATCCAGGAACATTTTGCAGAAGGCTCTCGGCCAGTTTTGTCTGATCTTCTACTGAAAGCAGAGCTGTGGTTTGTCAACTCTGACTTTGCCTTTGAATTTGCTCGTCCCCTGCTTCCCAACACAGTCTATGTGGGAGGCTTAATGGACAAACCTGCCAGGCCAATACCTCAAGTGAGTGAAATCTCAGTCCTCAGTTTATCTTTAATTCAAAGGCTGACAGTGCTTAAGTGGTGTCTTAGTTAGGGTTTCTGTTGCTGTGAGGAGACACCATTACCAAAGCGACTACCTAAAGGAAAATATTTAATTTGGGTCTCTTACAATTTTAGTTTAGTCTATTGTCATCATGGCAGGAAACATGGTGACATACAGGCAGGTGCTGAGGAAGGAGCTGAGAGTCCTACATCTTGATCAACAGGCAACAAAAAGTCAACTGGGACAATGGGTATAGCTTTAGCTTAGGAGATTTCAAAGTTCACCTTACAGTGACACATGTCCTCCAAGTAGGCAACACTTAGTCCAACAGGGCTGTAACTCCTAATAGTCCCACTGCCATGGGGGACATTTTATTGCTAATCGCCATAGGTGGAAATTGTCACTTGGCAGGCATGTCCTGAAAGGAAGTGCTCTAAAGCAAGGTAGGTACTCTGAGAGTCCATTTTAGGGTTGTGAAAGAATGGTGTTAGAACCTCCCAAGCTAAGGTTGAAGACTTGGCTATATGGTAGAATGTTTGAGTTTTTTTTTTTTTTTTGCCTATGTATTTCTGGCTTTGGTGCAATAAGTCCTTTAGTTAGTATTGGTATTTCCCATTGAATTTTGAGCTATATATGTAATAAGTATAGTGAATATTCATACATATAGTATTTGTTAAGGAGGCAGGCTCTTCATAATGAAACAGATAACACTTTCACAAGGCAAGTGCCTAGACAGAACTTAGCAATAGAGACAAGAAGTACTGATTGTGTTATTTAGTCTTCTTAGCCTATTGGATTCTTTGTACTCCATACAGCTACTGCAACCTATCAATGCTGCATGTAATTTGCATGTTCAGTATAGACTTAGGGTCACTACAGCTGAAAATTTAAAAGTACAGAGAGCTAAGGATGTTTGATTGTTTGTTACCTGTCATTGTGGGGTTCCTTGTCCCATGCTGGGAGGAATGACCTCCTTTGATTTTATGCAGTGGGGGCCAAAATGCTGAGGTGATGAAAGTAATGTTTCTCCTACTTTCAGCTCAAAGCAGAGAGGGTATGGATTTTTTTCTGGTTCCCATGGGTAACAGAGTGCCTACCCTATCTTGCAGTGGGTGAGAAGTGTTTGGGGAGTGTTCAGTAAGGAATATTTATATTATTTCTAAAAGGAGAAGGAAATTTCTTATATGGGCTTTGGAGAGAATCTCCTGAAAACCCAAGTATGTGGGATGTAGATGTGTCTGACAGAGACCTCACCTTCTAGACAGGTGACTCAGATATTGGCACAGAGAGATGAAGGGATTGATAAGGAGAAGAGTGGGAAGAAATATTTTGAAGTAATACCCGACAAAACAGTCTGGAATCTTCTCTGAGGGATGTTCAACCACATGTTTCCTAAAGAATCATGGGGAAGCAAAATAAACTATGGTGGTTTTCAGTATAAGGAAAAGAAGACTTTATATCAAAAAATTCACAGAGGACGAAAACCTATATATAGCTATCTGAAATTTTTGTTAAACTTAAACACTATTCAAATATTATTTCAAATTTGTGAAACAGTTTTTCAATGAAATATATCATATATGCACAAATATGACATAAAAATAAGAACAAATTTAAAAATTTAAAGAAGAAATAGATAATGACTGACAACTGCAATTTTACAGTTTTAGAATGAGAGGAATATCCATATAAATTATCACCTTGAATAACACTGTTATTCCCCAGAAGGCCCCTGAGCGTCGCTCCTCTGGGGAACTACAAACACCATAGGTTAAGTAGAACAATTAGGAATACATAGATAATTTTTTGAATTTATTTTTTTAGGTCATTTTATGTGCCTGAGTGTTTGCATGCATACAATTTTATGCACCATGTGCATGGCCTGTCTGGCCCCAGAGAAGGGCAGAAGAGAGCACTGGATGTCCTGGAGATAGAGTTGCAGGTGGCTGTGACCTAAGCGTGGGAACTGAACTTTGGTCCTCTGGAGGGACAGCCAGTTCTCTTAGCTGATGAACCAACTCACAAGACCCAAGTGGTCTTTCCAACAAGATCAGAGTCTGTTTTCCTTAAGCACGGTACAAACTCCTTGGTTCATGCCTTAGATGATACACACAAAAGCAACCCTAGTAACTTTCAAAATTTTGAATTAATGCAAATATCACAGTGGGATGAGATAGAAATTAAAAGTATATAAAAATAGACAATCCAGTATAATACAACTAGTAAAAGTAAGGGAAAAGTCAAAAGGAACATTTACAAATATTATATATCAAGGAAAATGAGACAAAATGATATAATAATGGAGAATAATAAAAACAAGACTTAAGATATAATTTGTAGCTGTTCTTATCTTCATTAATACACACAATGTACTTCTAATTGATAACCTAACAATTCTATATAAGTCACAGCAACGAAGAGAGGCCTAAATAGGGTACTAGTGGGAAGGAGAGGCTTAAAAGAATCATAGTGTAGATTATTGAAATAATAAAAAGAAAAATTAGAATCAATAAAGTCAAAAGAACAGTTTGGTGACAAATCATTGGAGTCATTGAGAAAATAAACAATAGAGAAGAATAGAATAATTATGTTCTAAAGTGGAAAATTATCTGCTATTACATAAAACAATAAAGATTATGAAGAAATTATACAAACATGATATGTCATCAATTTAGTTATCATCCATGAATTGACAAATTCCTATGCATATTTGTTAACGTAACTGACTCAAAACAGAAAATCTGAAACTGATGGGATTAAATTAGACTGGAATAATACAAAGATCTTTCATTAAAAAGCTTGATATAACATGGATTAACTGGTGAATTAAGTGAAACACTTAAGAATTAATGCCAGTTCCTCTATAAATGTTTGTGGCAGTTTCACAGGACAGGCGACTTCTCAACCCATTCTATGAAGCTATCATTACTCTGTAATCAAAGCTAGAAAACAGTGTCAGAGTAGAAGACATTATGCAACACAGAGAGTGAAGAAATTTTGTTATGTTATATTTCTAGCACGATTATAAAAGAATACAAATGGTGTCCAAAGGAGTTGTGAGGGGCCTTAAGTTAATAAACAAAGAAAATGCTCTGAACAATAAGTTTATGCTGAGTTTATACTTTAAGCAGTAGAAATAGTTTACTCAAATAAAATCTTGTCCATGGATTGGCTTGGAAGAGAAATTCATGAGAGGCCAGTGGTGAGTAGAGGGCTGCAGATCAATGCAGGCAGTACTCAGAGCACAGCTGGACAGGGGCTAGGAAAGTAATCACGGGGAACGTAATCAACTAAAGCATGGGTTTATTCAACACCTGACCTGGTTTTATGTCATAGCTGCTTTGGCTTTTACAAATCACTTCTTTTGCCTTCATTCCTTTTTGTTTCTTCTAGGACCTGGAGGATTTTATCACTACTTTTGGAGACTCAGGTTTTGTCCTTGTGGCACTAGGTTCCGTAGCAACCACGTATCAGACCAAGGAATTTATTAAGGAGATGAACAGTGCCTTTGCTCGCCTCCCTCAAGGGGTGCTGTGGACAGTTAAGGATGAACATTGGCCCAAAGATGTCAGAATGGCCAAAAATGTCAAAATCATGGATTGGCTTCCCCAAGCTGACCTTCTGGGTAAGCACTTCCTAGACCTGTTACTTTATTTCCATTTATGTTCTTTTGGATTTAATGGACAACAATGTCTGAGCACTTGGGCATGTAGAAGAAACATCTGTTGATACGTAAAGATAGGTCTCTAGCAGGCAGGCAAAAGCAACTAGAGTTCTTGGGGGGGAATCAGGCTAGCTCTAGACTGATGATAGCAGCTATTTCCTTATCCTTCCCTACTCAGACAGGTCCCAAATCCCTAAACAGATAGGTAGCCTTGAATATCAGTATTCAAGATTGATCCCTCCAACACAATCTTGAAAACCATATGAACTATAGCTGCTCCTTGGGGCAGTTGTCACTATTCTCACAACGATGTGAGACCTGCTTCACATTTTTGGAGACACACATATGAATGTAAGCATGCAGATACATCTTGGTTGTCTGGAAAGGGCTGAAATCTTAGACACAACATTAATGTTGGGGTTTTGAGGATGTGGAAGATGTTTGAGAGCCAGCTAGGGTAACCTTACAATATGATAAGAAGATACTGATTTCTTGAGCAAAGGGAAATTTCGTTAGTCACCTCCCCTAAAATCATTTGTTTCTTGGTGACATTCAGTAGATCCATCACTTCCACACTCAATGGCTCAGTCAGAGTTTTATAAATAAGTTTGTCACTCAAATTAAGCCAGGAAATTTTTCACATAGATCTATATTCAGTAAAATCACATGCTACACAATATGGAAAACATTTGTTTTCCTTGGAACATGGGTAGATTTTGTGTGAGGTATAGTTTGGGATGATTTCTTTATGATGATAAGATATGTTTGGTTACTTAATATGGAGTAACAGACACGATCTGTAAATAAAGAATCTTTTGCTATACCATCCTCTTTAGTAAACTTCTATTAAAATAGAGGAGAGAAACACACAGAATACAAGCTTCATAAGAGACCAGATGTGGATAGCCAGAGAAGGTTGAGGTTAGAAAATTATAGAAGACGTATCCATGGAGAAGGTGAGGATGAACAGAAGGACAGAAAAACAGGCCTGGATTGCCACTCTCTCTCTTCTTCCTTGTCTAGGTCCCTGATAGTTTTAGATTGAAGTAAGTTCATTTCTCTGCTTAGGGAATCCTAGATTTTATACACTAAAACAAAGCAAATCTCAAAGGAAAAATCAGTAAAACCATTCTCTACAACACACTGGTATTTCTTGGTCTGTTTCTTTACCTGGTATCTGAAACTTTCATAGTGAAATATTGGACCATCTTTCTCTTTTGCAACAGCACATCCTAGAATTTGTCTTTTTGTTACCCATGGTGGAATGAATAGCATCATGGAGGCCATCCAGCATGGAGTCCCCATGGTGGGAATTCCCTTCTTTGTAGACCAACCTGAAAACGTGGTCCTTATAGAAGCCAAAAGAATTGGTGTTTCAGTTCAGGTAGAGAATCTCAAGGCAGAGACATTTGCACTTACACTGAAAGAAGTCATTGAAAACAAGAGGTATGCAGCTCTCTGGGGTTGGTGTTGTTTACATTGAATGCAGGCCTAACACTAAGGGGTTGTGTAGTTTGATTGGCAATAAAACTAGAATTCTTTGGGGTGTGGTAAAAATACATGTTTGTTACTTGAAAGTCCTGTTTTTCCTTTAGTATTAATCCTAATTTCACGTGAGGTGCTGTAAATACGCTTATAACTGCTGTGGTGTGATAATTTCTTTTACATTCATTATCTTTATGACCTCTTATATTTTGGGTACCTGTAATAGAATTCCAAATGAGGCAGCAGGGAACATTTGTATGTTCTTAAGATGGCTGATCTCCCGATTCATCATATACATATAGAATTTAAATTGAATCACAAGAGGACTGTTTTAGTTACTATTCTATTTCTGTGAAGAGGACCTATGACCAAGATTGTTGCAGAGGCTCCTTGTTTGTTTCCCGGCTGCCCAGTCCTGAAATAATCACACAAAACAATGTTAATAAAATTATTGCTTAGTCTATTAGATTATGCATATTGCTAGCTAACTCTGACATCTTAAATCAACCCATCTCTCTTAATCTGTGCATCACCACGAGTTTGTGGCCAACCAGTAAGCTTACATTCAGGATCTGTCTTTTGTGGTGGCTTCATTACTTCTCTCTGACTCAGCATACTCTCTCCCTCCTCTATCTTCTTGGAAATCCCACCTTACCCTCTTCTGTGTGACAACAGTACCAAAGTAGTTTTATTCATTAACCAATGGTATTCACAGCATACACTGGGGTATCCCACATACAAAGTTATGTATAAGATAAAGCATTCAATTGGTCTTTGCTTGCAGTTCAGGGAGTTAGTGCATGACCCTCATGTTAGCAAGTGTGGCTGTAGGCATGGCACAGAGGCTGTAGCTGAGAGCTTTCATCTTGATCTGCAGGCTGGAGGCAGAACGAACAAGACAGGGTCTGATGTGGGCCTTTTTAAAGACCTCTAGCGACAAACCTCTTCCAGCAAAAATCACAATTCTTAATCCTACCTAAACAGTCCACAAACTAGAGCAAAAATTCATATATCTGTGGTTACGAGGCCATTGTTCCCTCAAACCATGACAAGGACCTTCTTTTGTCCTTACTGCGGTGATCTCCCCTCCTCAGGGTCTTTGTGTTGACCTCCCAGGACAGTCTCTCCAATGTTGTCCTCCTAGGAGACCATGTGCTTGGCTGTTATGTTTCTGTTACTGTGCTCAGTCATCATACACTACTTTCTCTTTGACCCTTTAATAGATTGTAATATCTCAGTCACATGTGTCATTACTGTCTGCCCCACACTAGCACATAGAAAATGGGCATCACGAGGAAGCACTGACTATCTGTTTCCACTCTGCTTCTAGAGCCAAGGGCAGGACTGTTATAAGGGAAGTTTTCACAAACCTAGAATAAATTAGACAGGAACAGAGACAAGAACAGTTGACCCACATATCACTTGCCCATCTTCACAACGATTTCACTAAATACTCATGTTTCAATGTCCTAATCATGTAATCAAATATACATTGACATATGTTTAAATATATTTAACGTGAACACTACTTCAGTGTCATAGCTACAATCCTTACAGACGTAGTAATTTTTAAAAATTTCCCTTCAAAGGTTAATTTTGATCCTTTCTGTATAAGGTTTGACATTCAGCTTTTTTTTTGTCCTTAAAATGGGGGCTCAAGTAGACAGTGTTAAGTGTATGCCAACAATTTTCTTTGAAGATGGGTATAGACTAGGAAAAATGTGAGTGTGTGTGTTTATGTTATAAGGTCTAAAGTATTGGCATAGCACATTGGTAACACATTCTCTCTGTGTCTGCCCTCAGGTACAAGTCTGCAGCAATGACTGCCAGGGCCATCAGGCGCTCCCACCCCCTCACACCTTCCCAGCGTCTGGTGGGCTGGATTGACCACATCCTACAAACAGGGGGAGGCGCACATCTAAAGCCCCATGGCTTTCAGCAGCCATGGCATGTGCAGCACCTGCTGGATGTCCTGTTGTTCCTGCTGGGGCTCACTTTGGCCACCTTGTGGCTGTTGAAGAAAGTGCTGGGCTGGTTGCTCAAGCCCCTGTGTGTGGCTAGGAAGGAAAAGAAGGCATAATGTTAAATTTGACCTGGGGGAGGATGCTGGGGACTCTGGCTCTTTAAAGGCTTCCTCCTTCCCTAGCACAGGGAACTCCCAGGGTTCTCCTCTTTCCCTCTTCATGCAGGTAGAGCTCCAGTTGTCCTCACTATTTTCTGTCTTTTTCATAATCCTCATACAGTACATTGACTGACTAGTGACTCCTCATTACCTGGATCCACTTGCAAACCTCAAGGAATATATGATAGAAAAAAGCATGGCTTGATTCCGGGCTTAGACTTTGGAGCCTGTAGATCAGAGAAAAGTCTGGCTTAAGTTTAAGTGACAATGAGACAGCAAAAATTAGGTATATGACCCTCCAGCAAGAGGGTGGGTTTGGCTGCCTCTCATTGGCTGGAATATCCCCATAACACATCATGACACTCAACCTATATAAAAGGTGATGCTCACAGTAATAAACTGAGTTCTTGCTTCACTTGATTCCTTATTGCATCTGATTGTCCTGTCTCATGGGGCTGCAGAACAAGCATCTTACACTGTGGGACTGTGAAATGGGCAGATAGCACACTCACCTTTCTCTGGAGAAAAAGGAAGCCTAGCAATGACTAGGGGAATGTAGAGGATCGAGAAGCCTGGCAACTGAATGCTCAAGAAGCCAACATGTATCTGTTGAGAAAACTCACAGTTTTCAAATATTTTATATGCCACATTCTGTAGGTCTTTGAAGTGTTTGAAGATTACTTACCTAATTGAAATAGATCATTGTATACCTAGAAAAACTAACTAATATGACTATAAATTTGAATATTATAGATTACTATTAATCTGTATTTTTAGTTATTTTTTACATTTTTAATGAGCTACATATACATAATATCTTAAAGAAGAATAGAAATACATATACAGTAAAACAAAATTAACATTAAATTTGCATCAATAAGCTAAAATCATACCAATGTAAAATTTGTGGAGATTAGATTTTTTTTAAATTATAGTAGATGCAATAATCTATTATTTTTTCATCATTTCTATATCATATCCCCTTTCTTCTGTTAAAAGAAATTGACTATGACCAATAACAATTCATAACCAAGCCCTTTTTAAAGAAAATAAACTTTTATAAAATAGAGTTTGGGAATTTGGGCATAGTTTTCTAGCTGATTGTTGGGCACTGCTAATCTTCCTGCTGATTCTTGGGCACTGCTAATCCTATAGGGACCCTGAGAAAATTTGAGATCAAAGCCAAATCCTGGGAAGATAAATTATAACCTTTGAAGGAGGATGTCAAAGTTTAGGAGGAGTTCCTTTATCAAATCTGGTCCATGTTAACCTGGAAAAAAATCCATAGCCTCTTATTTCCTGTGGAAAAACTTTTTACCCAAGTAATATATCCTTTAAGTTCCCAATACAAATGGATTTTGTACTTCTGATTTAGAGTTAAAGCATTTTAGGGCTAGAGAGACGGCTCAGTGGTTAAGAGCACTGCCTGCTCTTCCAAAGGTCCTGAGTTCAATTCCCAGCAACCACATGGTGACTCACAACCATCTGGTGCCCTCTTCTGGCCTGCAGGCACACAAGCAGACAGAATACTGAGAATACTGTGTACATAATAAATAAATAAATCTTAGAGTTAAAGCATTTAAAAAATATTTAGGTTCGTGTATTTTGTCAGTCTCTCTTTCAGATTCATGTCTCTCTTCACCCATTGTGCCGTAGAAACACCTTCAGCCTGCAGCATTTAAGTTACCAGCCCACTTGGGCGTGGCCTCTTATACTATAAATCCCAATGTAAAGCATGCGCCCCCTCTCTCTTCCAGCTGCTGTTTTCCCGTTCGTGCAGAGGACTGTACTCTGTGAGCCCACCCCTAAATAAATAACTCTTTATTATATTCAATTCTGAGCTAGTGTCAGACTTTTTTTTTAAAGCATCCTTCTCCACTCTTGTTTGATTGTCTGCATTTAAAAAATTCAAAATCAATACAGTGCTATGCAGAATCAAACCTTCCTGTCTATTTTCCATTTCTATGTAAACTATTTTTCTAATTTTATTCCTGTTTTTAAAGACTTTATCATATTATTTTTAAGCTATTTATTCCTTTCTTTAACTTTTGATATCCTTTTTATTTTTCTTAAGCCCATACACACTGTAAACAAGTTAGAACCTGGTTAGGAGGTGTTCTGTTTGGTCCCCGTTTTTATTTCGTATTTTTCAGTGTGTTTTGTTGTATAAGTTAATGCTAAATCCTACACATAGTGTATGACTGATTATCCTCCTATATAGAGGCCTGTGTGAGACTAGGGAAACTGATCACAAAGCTTAGCTCATGGCAACTGGTGGCCGGCTCCATCTAGTAGGCAGGCTTAAGGGGACACATCTCCTTCTGTGCTGCTGCTGGCATGAGACTGTGAGATTGTCCCCTAGATTCTGCCCTTCTTCTCCTGTTCCTGCTTAGTGACAGGCCAAAGAAGATTTATTTATCAACCAATGAGAGTAACACATGTTTGCACCATACAGAAAGACATCCCATAGCCATTTTACAATAAGGAAAGGGATCTGGGTTTGGCATGCTTGTTCTCCTATGATGTGTGATGCCCTCCATGATGTGGAAAGAAGTTCTTCACTGAGCACATCCTGGTGCTGTGTGTTCTCTGGTCTCTCTTGTCTACTGTCTACTCTACATCTCTACTATCACAGGCAGTAGATCATGGAGGCTTTGGGTCAAACTCATATTTACCAGGGATGGGATTGACGAGGTAAGATCAAATCCCAGCTTGTTAGGCTTTTGGTCTTGGGCTCTTCCCACTGAAGTAAGAGTTCTAAGAACCAAAATCTGCATTGCCCATGTCACCTTCTCCTGTTTCTCAATATTTTTTTTTTTTTTACAGAAAAGATCATCAGGGAAGAAAACTAGGTTCATGAATGAATGGGTGCATATGTGTATATATGAGTGTGCATATTTGTGTGTGTGTGTGTGTGTGTGTGTGTGTGTGTGGAGAGAGAGAGAGAGAGAAAGAGAGAGAGAGAGAGAGAGAGAGAGAGAGAGAGAATCACAGGAGTCAGAATCACAAGGTTAAGTGCTTCAGCCCACTTGAAACTCTTTTGAAAATCAACAGTTGAATCAAGGATAAAGACAGAGAGGGGCCATGTGGGCCTTCTGGATATCATCTCATTTGACTGTTTTTTAGATCATTGCTGAACTGTCGAGGGATTGGAATGTTTGGATTGATCTTTTCTAGGAAATCTCAAATTGCAGTCTGTGCCCCTCCTACATAGCACTCTGTGCTATCATGCATTTCTCTGTCCTTGCTGTTCTGTTCTGTAAATTCCAGGCAGATGTCTTGTCCTTCCTAAATTCTGAGTTTTGTCCTCTCACTCATGGAGAATGATTGACCAGATTTGAATATTTTCTCCATGATCTGAATTATGAAAACTATGTCCAATTTTTACCGAGTGTCTTGTACTTTCTAATAAGCAACTTGTAAATAATATTTTCCCTGGTAGTGTTTCTAGTTTTTTCTTAGTCATTTAAAGCACCAAACAAATCTTCCTTTTACTTACTATGATCCATATTTCATTTTGGAAAGTATTATTGTGTTAACATTGATAAACTCATTGTAATTAAAATAAATAATTATACACATATGGATATCTATGACTTTCTATATTATATCACTGAGCACACTGAAGATTGTCATCACAGAAGATTTCTCCGCTATAGCTACTCATTTATTTCTGCGTTAGGCCATCATACTTTTGAATAGCCATTTGTGGTCAATACATAATAGTATTTTACCTTTTACCTTCTGGGTTTCATATTAATGGGATTATAAATTATATTTTTTATTTGTTGTTTTAAGCATAAGAAATTATGTAAAGATTTATTCATAATGTTTATGAGTAATTCATTGTATTTTTAGTCATATTTTATTGTGCAGTTGTCACAGTTGTTTAGTTTTTTTATTCATAGAGTCGAGGTTACTTACTGTTTTGTCTGATTAAAAAAATAACATGTGTAAATGTTTTATACACACATTTACATCCACATATACACACACATTCACACATAGATACACATTTCTGTCAAAAATTTATTTTCTCTGCATTGGTTACTGGAATGTGATGTGGAATATTCTCCTGAATATATGTTACTTTTATTGGTTAATGAATATAGCTGTTTTTGACCAGTGATTTAGCAGAGTAAAGTTTGGCAGAAAATCTGCACAGAGATAGAAAAAGTAGGAGGAATCAGGCAGATGCCATGTAGCTGCCATAGGAGAGAGACACCATCTATCTCTGAAGGAGAAAAACACCAGAACATTTCCTGGTAAGCCACAGTCTCATGGTAATACACAGAATAATAGAAATGTGTTCATTTAAGATGTAAGAGCTAGCTAGGAATATGTCTAAGCTATTGGCCAAGTAGTGATATAATTAATGTACTTTCTGTGTGATTATTTGGGTCTACGTGACTGGGAAGGAAGGAACAGTCTCTGCTTACAGGAATACTTTACAGTGTGTTCTGGGCACACTTACTCCTCCATGCACTCTCTCCCCTTATCTATTTCCCTTATTTTTACAAGTATCTCTCCCATATTCATGTCTTTGTGGTTATGTGTATGTATTCTGTGTCTATATGTTTGTGTGTGTGTGTGTGTGTGTGTGTGTGAGAGAGAGAGAGAGAGAGAGAGAGAGAGAGAGAGAGAGAGAGAGGTCTATGTGTATGGCATGTATTTGCTAGTGTGTATATATATCAATGTGACCATACATACACATGTAAGCATGTTGAAGCCAGAGGTTAACACTAGGTGTCATTAGGTATTCTCCTTACTACATCTTACCCTACTTTTTGTGACAGGGTTTTTTACTGAACCTGGAGCCTCCCAATTAATGCAGACTGGGAGGACAGAAAGGCCCCAGGTACACCTATCTTTACCTTCCTATTGATGGGATTATAAGTGCCTGGCTTTTTTTTTTTTGGTGACTATTGGGTGTCTGTACTTAGGTTGACAAGTGCTTTATTCACCTACCCATCTCTCAGTCTTGATGTCTGATGTTTGAAGCCAAGAGAAGATGGGTGTCTCAGCTACAAAAGAGGGAAAAGAGAGAATCTGCATCTTTGTTATAATTATTTTTCACTTTAAGGACTGAACAGATGTGACAGTACTCAGATATTTTGGGTGAGGGCGCAATATCCTTACACTTTTTACTGATATAAAGGCTACTTCCCTCTGGTTGCAATCTCACACATGGTCAGAAATAAGGTCTTCCCACCTATCTAATATCCCTTAATATAGCAAAGTTGACATTGAAATCAATATCACATTAATACATTTGAAAGTACGGGAAAGTAGATGGACAGAAGATTTGCTGTGAAGAACAGTGCAGCCCCCTTTCTCACATTATTTCTCTTTTTTTAGTCTTTTCATCTGTGTGACTGTGAAACCAGCATGAGTATATGAGAATGCAATGCTTACATTCAGATGTAGGTAATGACACAGACATAAGACACAATGCTGCAAAGCAGAACTCCAGGAAGTATTCCTCTGCATGCTTTGAAAGTCCTGAAGCAGATTCCCTCTGCTTGAGGATGCACTGGGAAACTTCATTACAGCTGTTAAGTTTTCAACTAGGATGTGAGGATGACCACGTGGGACAATGCACTCCTTCCTCTTGGGTGGATTTACAAGTGGCAGAACCGGAAGCTGTCTTGTGCTTGCACTTGGGAGGATGGTGTAGTGCTTCCATTTTTGCTTTTTGATTCTCATTCAGAACTGTGGGTTCAATCTTCATTGTTTTGTCTTCAGGTAAAGTCCTGAACTTAGGCCATGAGCACATTTTCATGAATTTGTGATTAGTGAGAGGCCTTGAGGAAAAGTTTTAGGTGTTTTCCTGGGAAATTGGCTTATGATTGCCATTATTGGAGATTTTAGAACTGAAACCTGGCTTAATGAGTAACAGATATGGCAATAGGATCCAAGTAGAGAAATGACAGAGGAGGCAGAGTCTTATAAATTAGTGAATGGGTTTGTAAAATGTTCATGGTAAATGCTGTCATTGACCCCAAGGTCCAAATCAGGAGCAGAAGGAGAGAGAGCACGAGCAAGGAACTCAGGACTGCGACGGGTGCACCCAAACACTGGGACAATGGGGATGTTCTATCGGGAACTCATCAAGGCCAGCTGGACTGGGTCTGAAAAAGCCTGGGATAAAACCTGACTCGCTGAACATAGCGGACAATGAGGACTACTGAGAACTCAAGAACATTGGCACTGGGTTTTGATCCTACTGCATGTACTGGCTTTGTGGGATCCTAGGCTGTTTGGATGTTCACCTTACTAGACCTGGAAGGAGGTGGGTGGTCCTTGGACTCCCCACAGGGCAGGAAGCCCTGACTTCTCTTAGGGCTGATGAGAGCGGGGGAGTTGATGGGGGAGAGCCTTCTGTTTTGTGTTAATTTCATTAGTTAAATAAAGAGACTGCTTTGGCCCTTCAATAGGACAAAAAATTAGGTAGGCGGAGTAAACAGAACAGAATGCTGAGAGAAAGAAGCCGAATCAGGCAGTCTCCATGATTCTCCCACCCGACACAGCCGCAGGTTAAGATCTTCCCTGGTAAGCCAGCTCGTGGGCTACACAGATTATTAGAAATGGGTTAGGTCAATATGTAAGAGCTAGCCCATAAGAGGCTGGAACTAATGGGCCAGGCAGGGTTTAAAAGAATACAGTTTCCGTGTAATTATTTCAGGGGTAAAGCTAGCCGGGTGGGGGGACACAGCAGCCCGCGTTCCTTCAACAGGGAGTTGATTGGAGGAGAGGAAGGGAAATGGGAGGCAGTGGCAGGGAGGAGACAGAAATCTTTAATAAATAAATTAATTAATTTAAAAAAAGAAAAAA